TAACCTACTTTTAGCCATTTCAAGAGTTACTACGAAGTGAAATTTGATACATCACAGCTGGTAGTAGTTTTATTATTATGCAACATTTTAAAATAGTTCAAGGTACAACCTATGAGTCAGAACTCTTTGAAGAGCTAAATATCCAAAAACCGGACAGTGACCAAAACTTCTTTGCCATATGTCAGTATTATGGAATTCTTCGTAAATAGGTCAATAGTTTACAACAAAAAAAAAATAGTAAACATATTCAACTCTTGCACAGCCCGCGATCAGCACTTGGTGTCACGCTTCAGCGGAATATCTAATAGCTTTTACAGTCAATAATACATGTCACGGCTGATGCAACCAGAGCGTTTATAGGATCATTTCCTGCTAGGCTCAAAAAGGTGCTAGTGAAACTTGTATTTCTTTCAAATTGAAGGTCTTTATTGACCTACAAAATTAAGTTTCAGATTATTTCCAAACATCCTTTTTTGAAGAAACAGAACTTTAAATTATAGTAAAAACAGATATAGATAATTCACATATTTTAATTAAAATATTATTTTCCATAAGTGGATTTTTTGCTGGCTCGAAGGAAATTTTGTTTAGTGATGAAACTCATATCTGACTATTGATATACGTTGTAACGGTGTGCCATGCCACCGTTTGTTTTCCTAGGTTTCAGTATGCAAACTTTTTGTTTTTGAAATTCAACATCATTTCATTTTATTATTCGTCTTTCGTAATTTAAAATTTTGACTAATCAATTATACTCTTTATGGATGTCAGTTCGTAAGAAATTCTTCTATGCACAACATGAAAATTAATATACAGTATTAATCGTATAAATTTTATTATGTAATTTTAAAATAATTTATTGATTGTGATAAAGAATGTGATATTGTGATACAAATTATATAACATATGTACTAAATTGCAATCTGTATTTTAGACGATCCAAGAGTTTAACTAGATGCCCGACAAGGGGTATGTATTCGTTTATTTGATAATTTGTATGTATTAGTTAAGTAACTTACGAACTGTTTTTTAAAATTAATTTTTGTTTGTTACAGTTTTTATTTACCCTTATATAATTAATAAATCTATACTCAAGCTAATCAGCCTTATTAATTGACCCAAGCACCGAACCCGTCACAACGTTAGTACAATTGGTATATTTTCTATGATTGACAAATTCTTAGTTGTCTATCTGATTGATATGGTCTTTCAGTTTAATTTTATTTATGTCAGCTTTAAAAAACTTTGTATGGGTATATTAGAAAAATCATTGATGAACATATTTCTATTGTAGCTTTGAGGGATTTCATATTCTAAGAAACTACCGTCGGCAATATTAACTTTATCTGAGATTGATCACTACGTGGCGGTTCGGTGACGTAGTGGATAAGCGCCGCGGCCCACGATTGTAGTCGTTAAGCAACTTTCGCAAGGGTCGGTCACGGGATGGGTGACCAAAAAATTATTATCTCGAGCTACTCCGTGCTTCGGAAGGCACGTTAAGCCGTTGATCCCGGCTGCATTTGCAGTCGTTAATACTCTCCAATCCGCATTGGGCCAGCGTGGAGGATCATGGCCCATCCTCCTTAATCATCCATAAGGAAGGTCTGAGCCCCTGCAGTGGGGACGTAAAAGGGCTGGTGATGTTCTCACTACGTCCAAATCGTAAAGCCAGGTTCTCGTCTTTATTTTTGGTGTCTTATTATAAATATCGATTCACCTGATGTGCCTTACGTACTGTTAAAGACTATTAAAAATTACAAGACAATACAATGCTGGGTAAATTTTTATTGTCTATGTTTGCGAAGATGAGCCACGAGTATATCTTCGTTATAAACCGCAACCTTTAATCATTATTACGAGGGCAACGGTTTTATCTGCATACACTGTGTGTTCAAATTCATAACGGTTCTTCTTTGATATGCCACTCTAATCGGAGGTTAGAAAACATGATAGGCATCTTTATTTTTGTGGCTGCTACTCTACAAGCATTTTTTTTCATATATACAAACAAAAGACATCTTTTGTAATGAGAACACATCCTTTTAAACAACTACAAATTATCAAAATTGACGAAAAAATTGGGGCACACACACATAAATATATATTGGTTATAAATAAAACAATAGCGAGTCTGATTGTTTGAATAACACCTTATAATTTGTATATAGAGTCACTAAACATCTTATTACAAGTGAATTAGACTAGTTTATTACGACTACTCATACTATTAAACGAGGCGCTAACATAATTGGGTTGGAAATCCATCAAACTAAATCGCTGACACGGTCGTCGCATTGGAATCCCTGGGTTACCAATCCAGTATTTGAACCGGGTTAATGGTAAGATAACTCGTTTACCAAATAACTTCTGATATAATTTAGACATCGAACGATTCTCAGCGGTCGTTTGTTTGATTTTAAAATAGAATTTTGTTGAAATGTATTTTCGTATTTAAGTTTAATAATTACGTCACCTTAATAGGGATGATGACTAATTTTTGTTTGTTTGTCCGTCAGGTAGAGTGTTAAAAAATATTAAACACGTATTTTTTTCGTAATCATAAAATTACGGCGTTACATGGAGTTGAAATTTCGCATGACGTCACGTTAGGAAACGTTTTCTACTAAACTGTGACGTAGCGAACCCCCACTCCGCAACTTTAATGCCTGTTATCTAAGCTATTTCTTGTTAAATTGAAGTAAAATTATACGTATCTAATATTTTTCTATTATCTGACTGACGGACTAAATAGAATTGCATTTTTTTTACCCAGTCATCATCCCTATTGCACAAATCCAAAAGTAAATGCCTATAGAAAAGTTAACTAACATTGACCTGACCGATTACTCCCATTATTCTACTGCTGAGGCTCACGCCTTTCCTATGGTATAAATCGAATAAAATCAAATAGAGAAATGGGCTTTGGTTCAGCGCAAATAGGTGGATATTAACGACTGCAGAAGTAGTCGGCTCCAACGGCGCATCGTGCCTTCCGAAGTACGGGGGAATATGACATAATAAATTTTTGGTTACCCCTACTGTGACCGAGCCATTGCGAAAATTTCTTAACAACTGTACCGCAGACCGAGCGCACGAACCATCTCCTTTCACTTACTTACTCCTATAGACATGGAATAAAATAAAATATTTTTGATCATGTCTTACTAATTCATCTTATATGTTAAGAGGTGATGAGACGCTTAAGCATTTATTGTACATTAGTATTCCAAATATATATTTTATAGATCAAATAAAAAAACAAAGGCTCTGTTGATCTACAGGAATTTGATGATGATCACTAACTCTATCAAGAGATTTAAAATCACTAACAGTTACCAACCTTTGTATTTCATCACATATTATACCCCTGCGCTATCAAAAAATAAAATCGAACTTAATTATGAATCTGAATGATTTTTTTTTACTGACTATCCATTAGTTACATGTCCTGGGGACAAAGTGTATTTTTTATATAGCAGTATAGCATTTTGAATGCAAAATTTATGAAATATTAAAGTGATATTGTAAATTTAACCTTGTTTATAATTTAATCGTCAGTTACTCAAACTGTTTATAAACTTGAGTAACTGGTTTCATGCATTTTATTTAAGAACAATTTACGTAAATTTAATAGTAGGCTGGTAACAAGAAGCTAGTATCAATTTAAAAATAATAGTTCAGTTTGTATAGAAAAACATGATATGGGATGACGAGTGGATAAAAAAAAAGAAATTCTATTTTTAGTCCGTCAGTCAGATAACACCTATAAAAATATATGATACGTATTTTTTAAGATTTTAATTTAGCAAGAAATAGCTTAGATAACGGTCTTTAAAGTCGCTACGTCACAGTGTTGTAGAAAACGAAGTCATGCGACATTTTAACTCAATGTATCGTCGTAATTTAGTAAATATGCAAATAATAAAAAATACATGTTTAATATTTTTCAAAAATCTACCTGACGGACAAACAAACAAAAATTAATCGTCATCCCTATCACACAGGGGCGAAGTCGCGGGGATACAGTTAGTTCGTTAGAATTGTTTCACAATGCGAGAAGAAAGCGATGATCACACCTACTTATATGAAAAACATAATACCCGTGGACAATAGAAATTCCTCCTATTTCGAATTCCGAATTGGAATGAATTAAAAATGAGCTTCTTTTCTTTTTTCGTTCATATAAACATGTCATTAGCATATTTTGTTTTATAACAAAACAACATTTTAGTAGTGAATTCATCGTATGATAATGAAATTCAAATAGGTAGCGTTAACATTATTGTTACTAAATATAACTAATACTAATTTGCGTTACTGGTATCCTTCGTTTTTATATCGAGTGCGACAATTACACCTTAGGAGATATAAACTTGTTTTTTAGAAAAAAAAAATTACACGTACTTAGTTCCATTTACCATTTATTTTATAATTCATAGTAGGAAGGCTCTTACTCATCAGCTTGTAGGCTCGCAAGAGCCTTGTAAATACATTCTCTATACTTTACAAATATATAAATTAAAACATAATGAATATATCAAATTTAAAAGACAGTGCTTTCTGAACCAATATCAAATTAAAAATATATTTGATAAATTTTAATATATCATAATGCTTTATAACTTAAATAAATCTTAACGTACTTCAATTAAAAATTAAACTATGTGATTATTGACATATAACACCTAAATATTTATATTTAACACTAGCTGTTTTCCCGAGCCTATGTCACCCGCGTATGATTTAGCTCACCGTAGATTTTCTATTTTCCATGTTGAAAAAGTAGAAGTTTATTCAGTCAGTATACTTTGAGGAGGGATTCGGATGCCCATGGTACTTCGATCAAAATAATTTTACATAATTTAACTGCTTTAAGTTCATTTTATAAAATTACAGTTAATACCAATAATAACCTCCCCTTTTTGAAGTCGATTTCAAATACGTCGTACCCCTGCCCTTTTCTTTCCTTCTCCCTTAGCGTTCTTTCTTCTTTATTTCTCAACCATCCCTCCCTCCTCCTTTTTCTTTCCGGGTCGAAATCCTGTCACATAAGTGCCTACAACTCGAAATTGGCAAGAGTGAGTTTCCGACTCTCGCGCATACATACGTTGACAGGCTATTTTATTGCCCAAATCTATAGTGTTGGAGATGTTTCATGATAAGAGTACAATCCTAATTTAATTGGTCTACATATTGTTTTGTATTCATCTGTAAACCTTTTTTTTACAAGCGGTTTCTTGGTATTAATACCTTTTTGTTTCAATGTTTCCACAGAAACACGCTATACGGTTTTGCAGCTTAGCATTGATTAAACAAACATACACATTCTTATTTAACTGGTCTATACAATTTATTTGGGAAGTATTTAACGTAAAGTTGCTCCCAAAACTCCATTTCTTCTTTATAAGGTGCCACACTTCTGACCATTTCATTGCCAATATTCAAGCAGGATTGCGTTTTAGCGTTAAATGGTCGCCAATTACAGCCAAGTTTGATGTCGGGTGTCGGGTTTCTGAAAGAATATAATTTTGATTATTAAAAGGCTTTATAAAAAGCTTACTTTGATTTGTTGAAAAACTGCTTACCCATTCTTAGCAAAATTTGTCCAAAGACTTGTCATTCTGTAAATCAGATTGTAAGTATTTGATGTCTTTGATATCTTTTGGCTAACACTTTTGATGGGAAAAAGGTATGCAATATCATCATTGTGACACACAATATTTCTCGCAAAATAATGTGAAACCCCGAAAAGTTTGGCAAAGAAGTTTCTTTCAGACATGCATGAAAATTCATAAACATAAGTTTTATTGCACACTGAAAAATATTTTGCAAATTGCATTATTTCAAATTTATATGCCTCCATTGAGTAAAAATTTGCTAATGGAGTCAAATTTTGCTTGCTAATTTTTTCACCTCGAGTATATTTTTCCTTAATCTTATTCCCGACATCTATCAATTCATCTTTTGTATAACATCGCCCAAAGGCTATAGGTGTGAAATAACTTTCGTCATTATTAGCCAATTCGATTGTCCTTTCGATGTCATGAGAAAGTGCAAAACTTATAAATCCGTCATCTTCGTTGAAACCAACTATTAACTCTATTCCCTTGTGTATATTATTTTTTAAAGCTTCGATTACATCCCCGGTGAAAAATAGTTCCTCATTTGGAAAATGTTTTTCACTGACAACTGAAAACTCTATTAAGTTTATTGCCACCTCTTTTTCCTTCCATGTAAGTGGAACTTGGATCCCAACGAGATTCTCCCACGGTTGTTTCTTGAAAAATTCATATAATTCTTTGTCATCTTCTGATGTACATCCTAACTTTCTTGCTAGAGCAATTGCTCTATCACGTGGTTTATATGAGTGGGCCCACCAGTTCAACATTGTGCCGCTCTCAGCTATAGCTCTTTTAAAGAGTCCTTTTGTCATTGGCGATACACAGTGATATGTAATGCATGCTCCACCGGAACTTTGACCAAAAATGGTAATATTATTCGGATCTCCACCGAAAACTGAAATATTTTTCTTGACCCATCTCATAGCAGCTACTTGATCTTTAACTCCTGCATTTCCAGGAACATCCTCAGTGTCTAAACATAGAAAACCAAGAACTTCAAGCCGATAGTTAAGTGTAACGAGAATAACTCCATGTCTTATTAGAAATTCAGGGCCATACACATCATCGTTTCCATTACCACAGCAGAAAGATCCACCGTGAATCCAAATCATAACTGGTAAAAGCACAGAGGTATTTATTACAGGTGTGTACACATTTAGATATAAACAATCTTCACTACCGGGTTCAACTTGTTTTGTTATAACATTATGCTGAGGACATTGTGGACCATGGTTAAATGCATTCCGCACGCCTTGCCAAGGCTTTGGTGGATGAGGTGCCTGAAACAAAATTAGCATATTAATAAATAATAAATTATATTAGCCTGTCAAACATTTGTTAGAAGTTTATGTTATTTGAAGATAATCGTATCGATTTATTGAAGAGAGGCGTCTTCTTTATGCATGGGGAAGACCACGGATCCGTTATAATTGCCCCCAATTTATTACCTAAAATATAATTAAATATTAGGTCCTTACATATGAAATTGGTGTTTGGTATGGGAGGGACAAAAAGTCGAATATTTTTTAATATAATATATTTATTTAATTAAAGTATAAACCATTGTTATCTATGCACTTTTGCCATTTCATAGGTAGTTCATTAATACCTTACTAAAAAAAACCATTCAGTCGGGAATCAATAAAATCTTTGAAGGCGATTTGCACTGCCCCATCTTAGTTGAATTTTTCCCTTGCAAGAAGTTATCCAAATTTCGAAATAAATGGTAATCTGTTGGATCAAGGTCCGGGGAGTATGATGGATGTCTTAGACATTGCAATTGAAGCTCTTCTAATTTGGTAGCCGTCTGTTGTGCAGTGTGTGGTCTAGCGTTGTCGTGAAATAGCAGTGTGTAGAGCGATTGACCAGCCTCGGTGCAATTGCTGACAAGAGACTCTGTCTGCCGTAATCGTCTGACCAGATTTGAGAAAACTGTAATGAACGACACCGGCACTAGTCCACCAAACGCTTACAATTAACTTTTTTGGGGTCAATTTTCGCTTGGGGCAGGATTTGGCTGGCCTGCCAGGGTCCAATCATTGCGATAAGCGCTTCTGATTATCGTAGAGAATCCACTTTTCATCACAGGTAATGATTCGATTTAAAAACCCTTCATTATTGTGCCGGTTAAGTAATGTAACGCAGCAGTTGAAGCGCGTTTGCCGGTTTGCTTCACTCAATTCGTGAGGTACCCATCTTTCAAACTTTTTAATCTTTTCAATTTGTTTCAAGTGGATTAAAACAGTTTTATTCACTAACACCGCAGCCTGCAGCTAACTCGGACATGGTTTGCGATGGACCTGCTTCCACAATAGCCTTCAATTCTTCATTATTAACTTGGGTCTTCGGCCGTCATCGGAGCTTGTTCTGCAGGTTGAAATTTCCAAAAGGAAAACGTTAGAACCAATAACGCACTGTGTTTTCTTTTGCGATACAACCGCCATATACATCATTAACCCTTCGAGCCATTTCCGTAGTACTGGCACCACGGTAGAACTCGTTATCGTAAATAACACGATATTTCAAGATTTCTATTTTTTATACTTGGTGACGTAAATAGGACAAACAGAAGAAAAAAAAAACAAATGAATGCCGCCTAACGAAACATAAATACAAATGGCTGTATAAATTTGAATTTGGAATTCCCAACCAAGGAGGAGAAATTTGTGATTAAAGTGGCCAGTACGACATAACGCCAATTTCATATGTAAGGACATAATACACACATCAACATCGTCTAGGGATTTCTTCTATAAAGTTCTAAATTCAAAAAATACTGGCCGGTTTTAAAATATTTTGATGAAAACTTATTTTGTCCGCGTTTTTTGATGATTCCAAATTTGAATTAAAATATAATAATTTCAAACAAAATATTTGCGCGACATAATTCAAACGAAGTTCGAAGTTTTCAATTAACCTACCATAGTTTTTGAAGATTTTTTTGTGTTAATCGAAAGTTTAAAACAAGTTAGCAGTTTAATATGAATTATTGTATGAATTATGCAGCGTCGCCATTTAACAAGAGAGGAAATGTTTAAGGCAGTAGGCATGCTCCAAGCTGGGGCTACTCAACGGAGTATTGCTGAGGACATCCTAAAACAACAAAACGTGATATCACGGTTATGGTCACGTTATTGTGCTACTGGTGAAGTGGCTGAAAGACCTAACGCATAACCACCCAACGACAAGACCAATTTTTGCAAATTGCTGCCAAAAGAGAACTAAAGTTACGGCCATGCAGTTGGTTCAAAGGCTCCAGTCAGAGCACCAGTTGCTTGTGAGTGACCAAACTGTGAGGAGAAGATTACATGAAGCTAATCTTCATGCTCGCAGACCGCTTCGTACTCCTGCACTATGCCGAGGAAATCGTGGAAAAAGATTACAGTGGGTTTGTGAACATTAGTTCTGGGACGGTAGCCAGTGGTCTTGTTATATTGTTTACCTATGAGTCCTGATTCGGTTTCTATCATGATTCTAGAAGAATACGCGTATGATGAACGTGACCAGGAGCAGGAGTCGTGAGAGCCGCCTGCAATACCCTCAGAAAATCCATCCATACTATGGCGGGACGATTATGGTTTGAGCGGGAATTCGTGTTGGTGGAAGAAAATACCTCGTTTGAATTAGAAATACCATGACCGCTGAAAATACCTTAACCAAGTGCTAGTATGAATAGTCTACCCACATCGACTACAAATGGGTCAAGAATTCACGCTCATGCACGACAATGCTCGTCCCCACACAGCGCGAGTGGTCACCAGCTGACTGCCAGAGCACGATGTACCTGTCTTAGACTGGCCCGTGCAATCACCTGACCTAAACCGAATAGAACACGCGTGAGATATGCTCCAAAGAAGAGCTTTGAGGAATTTACCTACAAACATTGTCACTGAAGAGCAACTTTTTTGCATCTTTCCAGGACCTGGGACAATATTCCGCAGGAACACTTGAATAATTTGATTCGAATTATGAAAAATCGTTGCAGGACCGTTGTTAACATCATGAGATGAGGTTTTACTGACTGTTGATTTTCGTAAAATTGCAAATAACGGAATAATTTCGCAATATTTTTCACTTTTTCTTAAAAAACACATTTATCGTTATTTTTACCATTATTCTACTTTTCGTCTTTACTTAAACAATTTCTTTTTAGGTACAAAAAAATATTTATGTTTTATCCTATAATCTACGCTAATAAATGGGCTTTATAAAAATATAAACATGTTGTATGTTATTCAAAAAAAAAAAACTGAGAAAATTAAGAATAATTAAAATATCCCCAGTTGATGTTGACAACTGTAATTAACTAATTATATGCAAAGGGTCTACAGCATATGTGGATACATAGCATATATAGCTGTGGGAATGAAGACCTGAATCGACTAGGGGCAATTCAATAAATATGTACGTGATGTCCTATATATTATCAAGACGCCACAAGCTTATTGGCTTAATCATGTTACATACTCTCTCTCTCACACACACACAATCACTTATATACTCTTTCACATAGATACCATAAAATTAATTGACGTTTCGGACCCTTTACAGGTTCCGTGTTCACATAAGATTAAGGTGTCGACTGTCCTTATTAAAATCTATCTGTTTAAGGATCCTGTTTGTATATTAAATAACAATCTAAGTTTTGATTTCTGATTGAGTAAATATGGAAAATGTTTTTTTTTTCTAGATTTTATTGTATGTAAGGGTTATGGTACCTTCGCAGGGCCAGCCCGTTCATATAGGCAAACTAGACAACTGCTTAGGGCGCTCGTATTTGGGGACGGCAAGGCATTAGAATCAGAATCTGCTCTTATTATTTGTACCATAAAATGCGACAGTTTAAATAAAAATACTTTTGTTCTTTGAACGTGAGTTCATGTCCACGGTAGTCAAAAGTAGTTCTGTAGTGTATGAAAAGTTTGTTTTTGTTATAATTAAAATTTCACCCTTTAATCAGTGTACCTTCATTAGTCTTTTATTTTGTTGTAATTTTTTTTGGGCGTCCTTCCAATGTCTTGCCTAAGATCTGATCAATGTACGAGTATGTATGTGATGTTGTTCAATATGTATCATTATGCACTTTGCTTTATGTACGTAAACGTTTGAAAATAACAGCTTCAATGTCACAAGTCGTAGGTATGACTGACAGGTGACTGACATGACTTTTTTATTGTTGAAAAAAAAAGAACATTAAGAAATCGTCTGAAGCGCAATATTGCATATTTTTATTTATCTAACCGAATGCATAATAAATTAATATTTTTTTCATCATCAATAAAATTTACATATACGTTCAAAGATCGAAATCGTTTGTTGAGCGAAAAAATAATACATTTCACAACGCGTTATGTTCACAGTAAAATATCCACGCTATGAATTCATAGAATAACCACATAGAGAAATCAACCATAACGCGTGGCAAATAAGAAAAACCATGAAGAGTATTGAACCATATTTGATTAGGTTAGGTTATAGTATGACAAAGAACGCATGAGCCGAACGAGCAAAGCGAGCGTGCCGTGGCAGCGGTCGGCGAAGTGCCAGAAGCGAATCTCTATTTTAAATGAGACTGGTTAGTTTAGGTCACATTAAAGATTATGGGTACCGACAAGCGAAGAGAGGAGGAGCGTATTAGGCTGAATGTGAACAAACCAGAAACGACTTAATTAATACTACATCCAGTCCGTCGTGACATCGTTAAACCAATTAATGCTCAGAACGCATCGTGGCTTTTCTTCATTGCCACAACGCGTTGAGGTTGAACAGCATGTCAGCTAAGACACAGATCTCGCTATGTGGTTGCCTCGACACGTCGTGAGTGTTTCTATTACAACCATAACACGAATTTTGGTATGTGGATATTTTACTGTGGCTACAACGCGATATGTAGTGTTTTTTCGCTATTCTTTGAGCATAACATATACACATCAAAATCGCCTTGTAGAAGTAGAGAATTATTAAAAATCTAAATCATCACCGATTTAAAACCAAATGACAGCTGAAATGATTTCAAAGAATATAGGAAAGCATTCGACATCGTGGAAATATGGGCTGCCCAATTGTCGTTGCGTAATGCTCGAGTTAATCATAATACAACAATATAATTGCCAATATCTACAAAAGCGCAGCATTGAAAGTGGTAATGCTACAGCACACAACCTCTATCAACAGTGGGCAGGACATACAGCCCAAAAGATAGTGCAAGGCTAACAAAAATTGAACGAGTTATTTTTGGTTAAATTTGCAAGTAATACATTCCATATAGCATTATACATAT